GCGGGGAGAGAGGAGGAGGCGCTGATCAGCGGGGCTGCCGATGGGCAGGAGGCACTGGGGAGCCGGGGGGGGGGGGGGAGCTGATGGGGGGCTGCTGACGTATTACTGTGGCTCTTTGGCAATGTACATTGGTAAATTCTGGCTCCTTCTCCGTCTCAGGTTGGTCACCCTTGACAATTAGACATGGTGAACACTCATGGAAACAGAAACTTTCCATTGTGGAATACTTTTGATGATAAATGGGTAAGTTTTTCCTCCATAGTTTTTATTATTAGGGTAATTTACTAGGGCCTCTGTACTTGTAAATATCTGCTCCTGCTGTTTTATTATTCACATGAAATAGTAATCTTGTGTTTGTGACCACAGTTATTTGCTGTGGAAATTATTTTAATGTCACAAAGAGGATTAAGATTTCAAGAGAGAAATAAGCAGCAGGAATACCTGATCACCTTAGCAACAGAGAGGCTGTTTCATGCCTGTATACCTAATAATAAAAAGGAGAAAAGACAACACAGAAGGGATGATATATTTTCACATTTTTCTGAATGGAATGTTTTAGGTAACAACTGTCTCACGAGGCAATAGTGACCTCCCCTTTCAGAATTCTCAGCAGCTAAGCAGTTCCTTAATTTTAAGCGTATTTCAAAATGTATCAGCCGCAGGTGTGACACTTCAATTCTATCTAAACAGTTATTCATTATCTACTGCTAACAGACCATACCCGTCCCCAGTGGAACTTTGGATTTCACTAGTATCTTGTATCAAAAGACATCTGAGTGCTTTAGAAATATTAACTTGCACAATATGGGGAGCTGTGTGATCTAGTTAAAACAGCATTGACCTGTGACTCCGGAGAACTGGACTCTATTCCCACCTCTGCCACTAACCTGCATTGTGACCTTGGACCAGTCCCTTCACTTCTCTGCTTCACCTGCATCCTTCATCTGTCTTGCCTTTCTGAAATGTAAACTCTTTGGTGAAGGGGACTGTCTCTTACTATGTATGTGCACAGCACCTAACACCAGTACCTTCAACTCGAAGTACTACTGGAATACAAATAATGTTAATATTGTACCCCTTATAGAAACATCTGATAAAAATGAACATTGTAGGGTTCTTTAGAAATGTAAGTTTCTATAGAAACTACTCTAAAAAATTGTGGAATTTAATAGAGAATGAGAACCCATCTACAGATGTCTTAATACCAGCCTATTGAAGAGAGAGAATTTTCTATAGTAAAATCTTTAGGATGGTTCAAAAAACCTATGGGGAAGTTATTTTCTATTAAATTCATTAGGACTTCTCATAGTTAAACTATTAATTATCCCCAACTTACAGATTTGCAAAGAGACAGACAGACTGAGGACTGGTCTGCGCTTAAAATTAGATCGACCTAGCTACATTGCTCAGGGCTGTGAAAAATTTTGCTTCCTGAGCATCTAGTTAGGTCAACTTAACCCCCACTGTAGATGCAGCTAGGTCGAGGAAGAATTCAGAGTGTAGCCATGCCACTGTATTGTAGACTGGGCGAAAGACCAAGATTCTCAGCTGTGTCCACTGGTCTGAGCTTGGTTTTGGTGCCCAGCTTGACACAGCCTGGGGCTGAGTTTCAGAAGTCCCAAGCACCCTCAGCTCCAGCTGCAGTCAAGGGCCGCCGCTCTGCAGTTCTAGTCAGTGTTTTCAAATGAACACAGCCAAGGTATGTCAGAGGGCACCCAGTTCCCCGGGCCAGAGCCAAGGCCTTTGCTCAAGAGACAGGCATGAACCAGACCCCACAGGTCTGATGTGCACCAAGGGCACCGAAGAGAGACATCCCCCCCAACCCCGATCACTCCAGTGCCTCAGGAACCCAAGCACTTGCGCCCCAAGACCAATGGGGGCTGGCTCTGAGAGGGCAGCCAGACTGGCCCCCTGGCCCTCTCCTGGGGGATCTAAGCTGCCTGACTGGGACTCAGGCCCAGTTCTAGACCCCAGGTGTGGAGAGCCCAGAGCAGCCACCAGAGATGAAGGGCAAGGAGTGCCTGCCAGGAGGAAGCAGCACTGAGCCCCCACTGCAGGTATAGGGGCAGCCACCAGGGGGTGTCAGGGTTGAGGGGCGGGGAGCAGCCGCTGAGCCCCATTGCAGGGATCAGGGCGGTCGCCGGGGGCACCAGAACTGAGGGGCGGGGAGCAGCCGCTGAGTCCCCGCTGCAGGGATCGGGGCGGTCGCCAGGGGGTGTCAGGGTTGAGGGGGGAAGGAGCAGCTGCTGAGCCCCTGCTGCAGGGATCGGGGCAGTCACTAGGGGGCGCCAGGACTGAGGGGCAAGGAGCAGCCGCTGAGCCCCATTGCAGGGATTAGGGCAGCCACCAGGCGGCGTCAGGAGCAGCCGCTGAGCCCCGCTGCAGGGATTGGGGCAGCCACCAGGGGGTGTCAGGGTTGAGGGGGGAAGGAGCAGCCGCTCAGCCCCCGCTGCAGGGATCGGGGCGGCCGCCAAGGGGCGCCAGGACTGAGGGGCGGGGAGCAGGTTCTGAGCCCCCG